TGTAAATATAAAAGTATCAATAATAATTCACTTATTTTAATGGGACAAACGATAGTGTACCGTTTCGCAGATTTTTTAATAATGAGCATTCCAAAATATTTTTGAAATTATCAGCGTTTGAAACAGTGGCACAAAAGTGTATAAATAAAAGTAACGTTAGTGAAAAAATAAGTGATGTAAAATAAAAACTGGTTGGTTATGTACGAAAAAACATTTAACAAAACGATAAGTGTAAAGTAAGTGATCAAACGCATTGCTTATTATAGTCCTTCTTTAGACAGTAATCAGACATACCTAGTACGTAATAGAATATTTAAAATGTTGCACCACGTTTCTCGCTCTCTCTCTCTCTCTCTCTCCACCTCTCTCCTACTACCACTACTTTAAGATTTTGCATGTCATACCCTGATCAACAAAATTCTCCATACTCTCCCCATCCATCGTACCACTTCTTTATTCAGGATTCAGACAATCTTAGGCACTGGAGAAGAAAGAAAACGGTAGTATTCCCACTTCCTGGTAAGTAAACAGCGGCATAGTGGTCCGTTTGGAGACTCTTAGCACTCTCGGTGGTGGGATTTGTTGTAACGCCCTACTGTGTCGCAATAACTACTAATGCAACATATTTTATTGAATAATCGTTGCATAACTTTATACAATCTTTTGAAATGCATATAAAATTAAAATCTTTTGCAACGGTCCACTTTTTTTATGTCCTTGTGAGCCATGTCTGCAATGAGTAGATCGGCAATTACAGTGACTGATCAATAAATGATATTAAATTTCGTACGTGAAACAGTGGATCTGAGGTAGTAACGTCCACACTAGCTTTAAATACTTTTCTTACAACTGGAAAAATAAACATTTAATGTAAATTAATCACGATAATGAGACTAATAATATCGTAATATTAATAGCGAATTGCAAAAAATCATACATCGCGTATCAAACATCTGTTTTGTGTCATCATCACTACAAACTAATACCAGCAATTAGAAGGATATCATAAGATTGTACAACTGAAACTTTTGTTCAAGTATTACTATGCATCGCAGGAAAGCAAAATGTATCGACGAATAATGGCTCCACCAGTGTTGACATGAGCATCAACTGCTTTAATAGCAATCGTAACTTAGGTTTCTTGGAAGTGAATAGGCCAATGTACTGGATACTTTTTTTAAGATCACAACAAAAGATTAACAATCAAATTTTCTTACGTTAGTTACGTATGTTTTAAACATTAGATACTAATTACAACCAAAAGTAAGGATTGACTTTACATTTATGCATCATACTAGTCTCTAATAATGATTCATTCATCCAAAAACGGATAGCTAATTAATATCAAAATACTTCTAAATTCACGCTTAATTAACTTTACATAATCTACTCGACTCATGCGATAAGAACTGTCGACGATCTACACAAAAATAATAGTAGGAGCTCACCTTTCTACTCTAAACTACTTAGAGAAGAAAGGTATTATGAGTATGAATTTAGGTAGGGCACAGAAACTCGATCAAGGCACCAAAAGTATTGCGAACACACTCGCACATGTAGTGTACAAATAACCCAATAACCCAACAACTCTAAACCCAAGCAAACATATATCTAAAATGCAGGACACATTAAAAATACAATTACCCTTAGTACTAAAAGTCGCTACAAGAGCTACGCGCAGTAATATACGCTTTAAAATTAATAACTTAAGTAGTCTTCAAGTCAAAAACGATCTAGTTAATGGGAGCTGGAAAAACTAACAAAGATAACTTTGAATTACGCTTTAATCGTCGAAAAATTCACCAACAAAAGTCGTGAAACTGTTCACACCTTACTCTAGGATCTACTGATCGTTTCTAAACTCCCATGAAGCCCCTTTATCTTCTTATCACTTTGACCACTTTACCATCGATCACTGCACGAAATCCTGCGCGAGTTTTCCAAAAATTATGTTCCCACTCAACTGTATATGTTCTCAAACATTATTGTAAAAACAGTGATACAAAGTAAGCTTACAAAATCAAAAGTGCGCAAAAATCCGCAAGATCGAATTTAGGTATTCAAAGATATCAAGATATCAAAATAGCTGCACAAATGAGACATAAGGTGATTGATTTAGTATGCATGAAAATTTGTAACATAAAACAGTGTTAGCTAAAAAATGGAATCGGAATCATTTATGTGGAATCCAGTAGCACGAGAGGGCTACAAAGTAACTTTGAGAAGCAGAGAAAGCTTCGGCCACCGTGCTACTATTTACTTCAGATTCGCATACTCAAGTTTAAAAAAGAAAAAAAAATATTTTTCTCACTCTACCTTACGTATTTTAGTTTTATTTAGCCCCTTCCTTTATACACTACAGTTTTAAAAAAAAATATGGTCCAGAAAGTAGTAAGAGCAATGAAAATAAGACGTATATATCTCAAAATACTCAAATCCACATTTCTTCAAGCTTAGCTTTTACAAGGTAATCCAAAATATGGAATTAAAATATATTTAAATTTTTTGAACCCTACAACAGCTAACCACATAAAAACTATTTTTTTGTTTTTTTAACAGATGCGTCATGACTGTAACTATAGTAGTCCATGGTTACATACGCTTACAATTATTACTTTCAGTCAATTATTTGACGTTTACATGTTAACAAGAGTACATTAACTTATAAACGAGCATTTATATGGCAACATCGTGCTTAAAATTCATGGTTCTATTTTCCAGAGGCATGACATGCAGCGCTTCATGTGATAACGATAACTGACAATCTGGTCCCTTAACTAGTGTGAAGGCTATACTAAAAGTGAAATATACAGTAAGACATTACAGTTTTAATAGATGAATTTGTGAGTATCGCATCAGTAAATAAATTTGAAAGCTGTATGACTGTATAAATAAGTTAAAGATAATCTTTGTTGGTGTTAAAAACTACGTTTAAAGTATGTCAAAAGTGCGTTATCGCAAGCTGATTCAGTAACCAACACTACTGATAGTACATTTGTATAGTAATACCACAGTCATGCTGTGCAACTAAGTTGCGATTTTTAATTGTTTCATGCATAATATTCAGACTTGGGTATACGAACAAAATTACTTGTTTTTGGTAATATAACAACACAATCCTCCCTATGCCCTTCTTTCTTTTGCTTGCACGATCGCTCAATCATGCTCATTGGATCATTCACTTTTATGTTCGTGCGTTGTTGGATGTGCTCATGCCACACGATCCTGTATAGCTTATTAATAAATCTGTATACACAGCGTGACAAAAAAACGGTGATGCTTTGAAAATTTTCATTTCCCAAGTGGAAAATCTAACTTGGGTGTATAATGTTTACACATAAAAAAAAAAAAAAAATAGAATTATAGATTAAAAATCTTTAAACTGTGTTGTTTAAAAAAAAAAAATTTGACATCATTTAAAACTATTTGTACAAATTAACTTAATGTACACTTAAGTACTATTCACATTGCGTAACAGCGTTTAGTATGAATTTCGTGGAACTACTATTGGACACCGCACCTATCTCGTACAGACTTTGTCTTCACTGAGTACTATTTAACATTAACAATATTTAACTCATTTTACACGTTTCAAATATATGTATAAACATAGTGTTTTTATAAAAAGTTAAGATAGTTAGGATATTCCTATAAATTTGCTTATCAACAATATCAGGTTATGTAAGTTTGATATTATCAGTTGATATCTTTTAAAATCGTATAAATGGCAACTGTAGCACAGTGATTTGGGTTTCGGTTTTTTTAGCTCAGGGACTTAATTCCATATGATCAGGAGTTCAAGACCAGGCCCTTACTTACTTGGCTCACACTTCTTGGAAAATAATTTCGTATGTGCGATATTAAAAAAATTTCAGGAGATTTTTAAATATGCCAGCGACAATAGCATGCAGAGTTACACAATAATGAAGAGCCGTTACATACACAGTTTGTCAGAATGGCTATAAAATTAAAAAAAATTTATTTTGTAAGACATTTCGTAAGCACTTATACAATGGCGATGAATTGTATTCTTTTAAATGAATCGTTAGCCTTTCAAAGTTCTGAAATCAAAATCGAAAAACAGTCAAGTTTGGTTTCGTTTTTTGGAACATATTACTTTTTCTATAGCACTTTTAATATAATACTGACTTGTACCCTCACATTAACAAAATGAAATAAAATAATAGTACTAAATGCAAGCTTAAGGTCAAATACATAAATGCCTTGCTATGTCGTAAGTATATTAAAACGTAAGGTCATTGTATTGTATTTGATTTAAGGCTTGCATCTTAATGTACACGCATGTATGCGTGGATCCAGGCTCTTCCTCCCTCTTCATATAAAGATTACTGTCATAAATACACGGTGACTCTGAAGTATTGGAGTGAATTACGACTGACTGGCACTAGGTGAAAAAGGGTTGTTTTAAGCGTTACAATAACAATTAATATTCAACGATGAAATTGTACACGAGGTAGCCACAGTCAAGTATATGGAATATTAAAAGATTTATAGAAAATATTCAGCTATTTCCAATGAATATTCTAAATATATTAATATTTGATATACAATTATTCATATCACTATTGTGAAGTTAACATATGTCAGAGATAAATTTACATTGAAAGTAGAAAAGTAACTTATTAATAAATAGTTGAAATTTTATACATTTATGTAAATAAATTTTTAAGCATTTATAATGATACACTTCAATGATAGTTCATTATTTAGTTATAGTATATTAATGACTCAAATTTTCAGTCATATAAAAAGCAGGTTATGAGAAATAATCATGTGCTGATGTTATTAAGACTATAAACATTGCAGACCGAATAAGAAAATAATTTTCTATTTGTGGCCAACATTTTCGTAACATGCAAAAAATGCGAAGAAAGATATGTATACAATATATTTACAAATAAAAAACTATCATGCAAAAAAGTTTCAGCATCTTAGAAAACCAGTAATATAAAATGTATTTATTGTCTATAAAAATTAACCTTTCGAAAAGTATTGCGATCTTCGTCCTTCACAATGGCTGTGCGACAGACCTTGAGATTCGTTAAACACATGGCCGGGTCTTGATGGAATACTTCGAGCCTCACCATCTCCTCTATTTGTGTATGGATGTCGCTAAAAATTATGTAAATATCCATACTTTTAATGTGATACATACAAGAACATTTAAATTATTTTTAAGCTTGCAACAAATTGCCGTTTTAAGAATATATTGGATAGCGTTTGATAAACACCTTTCATCAAATTAGTATTAACATCAAGTTGTCAAGCTCATTATAATATTAAGCTTACTATTTTCAATTTAAAAGGAAAAGAGTGACTCCAGAACTAGCCCGATTTTGCAACCTCGAGAATCGTCCCAAATTGTTAATCAAATCATTGTTTAACGTTTGAACATGCACCTGATAAATTTTTAGGAGGGGATCAGCTTTGGTTTCTCAGATATAGAAGGTAGAAGATATTGAAATATTACTAATGACCGTATAAATCAGGTTTGCAGTGAGTCTCGCAAAATAAAGAGTGTTTTCGCGTAGCTAACCAAACCACTATATTATTATTTTTTGGGTCACTGATTCCGAATTCAAGGTCAAATGACCTCCTTAACAGATGGTTGAAGGTCATTTGAAGGTCGAATCTGAATAAAATTCCCAAATCTAGAATACACTAGATTCCAACACTGATTCTCATGGCTGCAACTTTTGCAATCGCGTATAGTACATAATACTAATTGACAATTAATTGTAGATTTATTGAAAGCAAACGATTGCAATCATCACAGCTCAATATGAACTTGATTTATAATGAATATTATATTGGTCGAGGAATGTGTCTCGTTGATTTTTTGTGTACAGGACTTAATTTTATCATTAAAATTCATTTAGTCGCCTCTTTAATTTTTTTGTGTACAGACCTTAATGATATTATTCAGAATCTTTTTGAGTTAAAGTCAATAACTAGTGTTTTAGATAATTTGAGTCTCAGCTTCTCTATATCTGACTTTGAGAATAATTTTATACAGAAAAATGTATTTATTTCGATCCATAATCTTTTTTCATATGAGAGCTGATCTCATGGCCTCCTGAGATACATTATTAAAGTAATTGAAGCTAACCTGTTAACGCGTATAAATTATACTACTAATAAGTATTAACTGTATATACAGGTACTATAGTTAAAGACTTTTGTCTTTTTATTGTAATTAACTATTAATCCTTTCAATTTATCTTTCCAATATATTTTTACATTATTTGCAGTCTACGATTCATTTTAAAAAATGCCTTACTGTTTAACATGTCTTGGCTGTGAGCATAAAAAGAAATCAAAAAATCAAAAATTTTTTTGTGTTAACAATCTGAATTTATCGGCTATCAATAATTTGTGAACTATTTATAATACTAGAAAACGAAAACTTGAAGCTATAGAAACAAATTATGTGGACAGCAAAATATGCAGACTGTGCTACGACTGTGTTCAAAAAAGTCCTAGCATTCAAACTTACCTTACGTTGCCAGATCTGTCTTTTTATAGAAATGGCTTAAGGTTACATAATCGATGTACATTTAGGTGTAAAAACCCATCAAAATTAATTGCTGTTCCCAGCAATAAACGTAAGTTCCTTTTAATTAATTATAAATTGTTTGTTGAGCCTAATGCCCGTATGTGCTCTGAACATTTCAATGATGTTGATTATTGGCCTTTAGTGAAACAAATATTTGAAGAAGTATCACCGACGGAGCAAAAGTTTGTAAGCGATATCATGTTCAAATACTATCAGAACCAAAATAAGAATGTGGGTAGTACATTTGATATCAATACACTTGAGACTAAGGCAGATAGGCCTTTTAAGTCTTTTTTCGGATTTGAAAAAAAAAATTCAATGAAATATGTGAATTCACTAAGAACTGTGAATCAAAAGATGTAGCTATTCTTTTGTGTAAAATTCGTACTGCACTTTCACATGAACTATTGGCTTATTTCTTTGGATACCAAAGTATTTCATCAATTTCTAACCATTTAGAAAATGCAAGAAATGATTTAATTCAAAATTTGGTTCCTTACGTTCTCAACATTCCCACTCGTGAGACCATAATAGTTAATAGTACTTCATTGGCAAAAGAATTGTTCGATATACCTGAAGATAAGGGCTGTATTATTTTTGAGTTCCATTCGATGACACTGCTTTTACTTCTTTGGATAATGAAGAAAATAATTCGCTAATGCAGTTTCCTCAGCTTTTATTGAACAATTTGTATGAAGTTTTCCTAGGCTTTTATCAATTAAAAAATGCCATGTTGTACTACGCCGAACATGTCGCGGAAGATATATTTTTAGTACAGAAATTCAATACTACTGCAAGACATAGAACCGCAGGCTTGGATTTTTCTAAGTATGGCATTAACGTTATCGATCCACTGCTCATGAAAGCACATATGAAATCTCGCTATAGAAGTAGAAAAAGCCATTATATTTTTGTACTGATCGAGCTAAGAGAGGTAGACTGGCTATCGTCGAATATTTTTGCACATGCGAGAGTGGTTCACGGACAGTTGGATGCTGCAGCCACATGGCTACTATTATATGGTACTTGGGATACGGTCAATATAATGTCATAAGGGTTCCTAGCCCAGATATATTGAATGTCTTTATAACCATAGAAAAATAAAGCTTTGTAGTTAATGACGTTAAAACAACATTTTGTTCTGATTATTTCCAAATGAAATTATTGATTAGGCATATTGAATTTTGCACACCTGACTTCAAATGCGGGATCAGCGACTATCAAAACTTATCTGGAGGTGATTTCAGAGTTTTTTATGATTCATTCAGATTTGACCTTCAAATGACCTTGAACCATCCGTTAAGGTCATCTGACCTGGGATTCGGAATAAGCGACCCAAAAAACATAATATAGTGATTTGGTAAGCTACACGAAAACACTTTTTATTTTGTGAGACTCACTGTAAACCTGATTCATACGGTCATTAGTAATATTTTAATATCTTCTACCTCCTATATCTAAGAAACCAAAGCTGATTCCCTCTTAATGATTTACCAGGTGAATGCTCAAGCGATAAACAATGATTTGATAAACAATTTGGGACGATTCTCGAGGTTGCAAAAACGGGCTAATTTCGAGCTATTTTTGGAGTCACTCTTTGACAACAACATAGTCACATAAAAGTGTATTTTGATATAACTTATCAAAGGTAATAGGTTTTGATATATGCAAAAGAAAAA